CATTACCTGCTGCCCCATCCAGGACTCAGGGACCCACAGCAATGGGGCTAGTGGGGGAGGGGCAGGAGCAGAGGGGATTTGGGGTAATACTGGTCAGACGACTACTGTCAATGGCAGGGGCTGGTCTGGAGGGACTGACTAGGGGGGGTGTACCTCAGGCCCCATGTGCTCCTGGATCCCACAGCCCGGCCCCTCGGATCCTGCTCCTGTCCTGGGAATTCCTCGGCAGCTGCACCTCATCTCTGCCTTGAGGGGAGCCTGGACTCCCCTGCCTTGGCCACAGTGCGGCTCCCGGAAAAAGCAAACCCCAGGCCTGTCTTGAGCCTGCTGCATGTAAGGGGGCAGGGGTAGCTCAGTGGTTTGAGCATTAGCCTGCTTAAACCCAGGGTTGTGAGTTCAATCCTGGAGGGGGCCATTTGGGGCAAAAATCTGTCACAGGTGGTACTTGCTCCTGCTATGAAGGTAGAGGACTGGACTCCATGACCTTTCAAGGCCCCTTCCAGCTCGAGGCAATCTCTATTCATTTCAAGCATGCAGGAATATTTGGACTAACAATGCTGATGAAGCATGAGATGCGAGACCATGTCAAGGGTGTAGCCTTGTAGTGGGATGTCATCTGGTTCTGATCAGGACAGATACAGCTGTCAGCTATGCCTGGAGCAGGATGGACCTCAGATAGGGGCATTGAGCATGTGGTGTATCCCACCCCAACATGTCATCAAGTGGCTGATAGTATTAGAACAACTGAGTCTTGCTTTGCTAGAAAGTGGGCTTAGTTGAAAGAACAATTGACAGGTTGACAGGCAGGAGTGACCCCCCTCAGGTCCTGCTCTAACTAAAAGTAAAATAGCTCCAGCCTGGCATCCTGAAAGGTGGGAATCAAAGGGTCTTTGTTGACCTCCTTCCTGGTACTGTAGGGATGTGTCAGTGAACAAGGCTTTATTATTTAGTAGATCTTCTATTAACCTCTTTTGCATTGCTTTGCACTATATTAATTGCTTTAGAATCCATCGTACTTAAGGTTTACATTGTGCCGTAATGGTTTGTAAGGCTTGTAAAACTTAAACAACTGTAGTCACTGCTTACAGCTGGCAGTAAATTAGGAAAGTGGTTCAGTAGCGCTGGAGCGTCCTGGTTTCTCTCGGCTCTAAAATAAAGCGAACCCCACAACAATTGGCATCACAAACAGGATCCAAGGGACCCAGACAGATGCAGGGGATTTGGGAACCATGCCACCTTCCAGGAGTGGCAGGGGAGGGAAGGATAAGGACCAAGGGATGATGCCGGGATGGTATTTGGTAATCCCTGCACTGTCCCTGTGCATTTTACAAGCCAAACTCAGCTGCTGGTCAGCTGGGATCACAATAAAACTCAAGTAATTTGGTAAAAAGTGGGGGAAATACGGATTGGCATTTGTAAAGCTTTAATGAATAGGAATCAAAGTGAAGGAGCTAGAATTTTGCAATGAATGTAAAATGTCTTAAACAGCATTGCACTACATAAGCTTCCTAAATACTTGAAAATGTGGATTTGCCCAAGAAAAGGAAGTAGGAGGTGTGGGGGCTAATTAGGAAGCCCATCCTTCTGACTAAATTAGTACTGGACAAAACCCATGTCCGTGGAAAGGGGCCATTCAGCAGAGAAAGCAGGATCAGGCCCAGGCAGACAAGAAAGCAAACAGGCAAGAATTTGCTATGTCTAGACTGCCGGCTTCTTTTGGAAGAAGCTTTTCCAGAAGAGGTCGTCTGAAAAACGTCTTTGGAAAGAGCGCCCACACTGCCAAAGCGCACTGGAAAAGCCATCTGCTCTTTCGACAGACAGCTTGAAACAACGACTTTGGAAAGAGCGCCCACACTGCCAAAGCGCACTGGAAAAGCCATCTGCTCTTTCGACAGACAGCGTCCAGACTGAATGGACGCTTTCTTGCATTTCAGCTGTGATTATATGGATGGAGGCACCTGGGCTTTTCCCTCGTTCCTCTTCTTTTGAAAGGACTGCCTCTTCCCTGTCCACACACGCCCTTTTCCCAAAGAGCTCTTTCGGAAAAACGCTTCTTAACGTAAGAACGTAAGAACGGCCCTACTGGGTCAGACCAAAGGTCCATCTAGCCCACTGTCCTGTCTTCCAACAGTGGCCAATGCCAGATACCCCAGAGGGAGGGAACACAACAGGTAATCCTCACGTGATCCCTCCCCTGTCACTCATCCCCAGCGTCTGACAAACAGAGGCTAGGCCTACCATTGCCACCCATCCTGGCTGATGGCCATTGAAGAAGTCAGTGTTGGCTATAGAGAGCATAATAAAATGTGCGTGCGGCGTGAAAATTCTCACCGTCAACAACAAGGTGTAAACCTCTATCCTTTAGAGCACGGTGATGTTTTCTATCACAGCGTATTAACAAAAACTACCTCCGGGGTCTTTTAGGAGCACTCCTTTCCTTTTCAAAACAAAGAAAATTAGAACTGCTCAGGGCTTTCCAAAGATACTTCCCCTCTTACAACATCTCCCACCTCATCTTTTAGTTAGATTATGATAATATGGTGATGCAATTGCATATAATGAAAATGTATTAGATTAAATAATACTGTCTGACACCCCCACCCCGTCAAAACACTAAACTGATCTAAACCTCTTCTCAGCAAGTAATGCAAATCAAAATAAAGTCACTTTCAGTACCTCTAGAGACTTTGCCAGTCAGCTGAGACGAATGCAAAGCAACTGAAGGGGAATTAAGAGCATTACAAGTGACAGTATTAGAATTCTACTTAGAATTCAGGTGCATTTACTAAAAACTGTGTACTGCGACTTCAGGGTTTCTGCTCTGAATGTTAATGAAACTGCATTTCCAAATCTACCATTGGGACTTGCTCTAAACAGCTGTCAGCTGAGTTTTTACCACATGGGGTTTTACAACAAAAACGAACAATCCTTTGGTGCCACCTAGTGGTAGAATAAGACACAGTAAAACCTCTGAAGGAAAAGTTTATAGATTTAGGATCATAAGGCGTTAATGGGAACTCATTGCAAAGGCCTTGGATAGTACATAAGTATCACCACTTGAAAGCTTTATGCAAAATGTGTTATGGGACAATGCCAAAAGATGTAGAAGGGAAAAATGAGTTTATACATATGAAACTGATCATTAAGATAGCAGTTCGATACACGATAGAATTTTAGAGGCTTCTGATAAAGCAATCTTGTACTAGCCCATTGTCACTTCATAAATAAAACTGCAGATGAAATGTGTCAGTCCACTCCTCCTAGAATGCGGATTACCAGCACCAGAAAACCCCCTCTGTTCTTTCGATTGTCTTTCAAAGGAATGTGATTGCAGTGTGGACGTAACTCAAGCTTTTTTTTTTTTTTTTTTTTTGGAAAAACAATTTTTCTGAAAAAATTCTGTAGCGTAGACATACTGTGAGAGTTGGTAAGAGGTTCGGAGCCTGGAGGACATAGTGGCAGGAATAAGGGAAGACAGTAAGTACAGACATCAGAAATTTAAATTCTAAGAAAATTCCTTGGAATGCTGATATCTAAAGGAATGAAGTTTTCATTTGAACTGAAGGCCAAAGCAAGTGATTAAGGTAAAAAGAGAGCGAGAAGTTAATTCTGCGGAGTCTAGAAGGAATTGAGCAATTGTTGTAATATGCTAGAAAGAAACGTGTTATAGGAACAGAATCCTTTGTTTCTTTTCGGTCTGTCCGGAGGAAAGATGGGTTCTTTTTCTCAAGGAATGTCTGTAAAGAATCCAGGCAAAAAGAGAGTCTGATTTAAATAATTTAGCCATGGTCACTGTAATGGAATTTGCTGAAAGAGCATAAGGGAATGTAATTTTTGTATACCTATCAGGAAATAGCGTAAATATAAGTTAAAAGAGTGTGTGCATGTACATGTGTGTATATATTGTGTCAATATGTGAGGTTTCTAGGACCTAACCAGTGGTTTTGGATGTTTATGAAATTCTGTTTTATAGGTTTCAGGTAAATGAACTGGTTTTGTTGAGTTTTGAATAATGCCATTTCATTCGGAGTTGCAAACTTGACAAGACACTTTTGCCAGATATTGGTAATTAGTGTTGCTTGGCTTTTTGAATCTAGCATTTAACCTAGTTATGGCTGTGATAAGAGGCAGCCAGAATCAGAAAAATGGGGAAAAGACTAAAGGAAGAGATTCTGGATTTCTTGTTTTTGGCAAAATAGCAAACAGACAGGACTTTAAAGTGAACAGCAATCAGGACTTTAACATTTATTGTGTCTCTTTTAAGGCAGAGACGCTAAGTTGCTGATAATTTTGAATATCAGAGCGAGCCAAATAGTGTCTCTGGAAATACAAGTGGCAGCCCAAAAAGGATCTGCTTACATGCATAATACACCTATTTTTTAAAAACTTACCCAAATCTCCAGGATAAATTAAAGCCCATGCAAAGATTTCAGGAAGACATGGAACACACTGGCCCCAAAGATAATTTTTTTAAAGGCATGGTAAACATCCACTTGTAAGAAAATGTATGTGACTGTTATTGTTTAATCCTGGGAAAATTTAATGTTTATAAAGTAACCCTGTACTAATGTATAATGCATGTGGTTTGTTTTGGAAAAGGAAAACTCTTAAGTATGATGAAGTGGTAGTTGGAAATAAAACTTGGTCTACTTATAAAGCAAAAGTACAGGGAAGTATTGGGGTAGTTGCAGGCAAAGAGAAAAATCAGCAAGAATATCTCTAAAAGAAGAAGTATTTTAAGATATATGTGCCACCTCCACGGGGTAGAAATGTTTTCTTTTGTCTTTCAGAACATCAGAAAGAGCTGATACCAGCTGGAGAGCAATGAGAATAATATGGATTTATTGTCACGACAAAATTGTTTCATGTGTTGTTGTGTCTTATGTGTTGTGTCTCATGTGTCGTGCTGTATGTTTGTTGTTTTGTGTCGTTTGTCTCAATGCTAGCATTATTGGGTATTGTCTTGGGAAAAGAGGAGGTACTGTAGTAAGCAGGAAAATCGATGACTCTCTAATCAGACCTCGTCCTCTCCCTACCCCTCCGTCTCCTGTCACCACCGAAAGAGCAAGGATCAGGCGGTGGCATGGTTGTTGGGGCAAACTTGCTGGGTTTGGCAAGCTGAAACTATGTAAGTAAAACAGAAGTTGGAGCCGGTAGGTGCAAAAAGAAACTGTGTAGCAAGTAAAGAAAGCGGTGCAGGCACAGGAAAGTTAAATTCCTGTGAATGGTAACAGCTTAGTATGGGAATGGTTTAAGCGAGTGTTTCTCAACCTTTTTTTTAATAAAGTACCCCTTTAAAAAAAAAAAGGTAAGTAACAAAATTTTGTAAGTACCTACAGTTGTTTTCAGACACACAATTTTTTTCCCCACCATTGCAACACATTTGTTTAAACAACTTAATCATAGCCAGGCGGGTGATGACATTTTTGGGTGTAAAAAGTACAAAAATAATAAAGCTCTGTAAACTTAAAACAAACATTCAGTTTTCTCCACGTTTCAGTTGTGTGGACGTATACCCGCCCCCAGACTTCTCTCCAGTACCCCTGGTTGAGAAACACTGGTTTAAGCTAGTAAAGGTAATCGTTTAAAGACTAGGCAGGTAAGCAAAGTGGTGTGGAATATGAATAACTGATAAATCACAGGTGGGAGGTGTCCCGTTCCTAAAGCACACGCAGGTACAATAAGGGGAAACAACTCATGTCCTTTCTGTTGTAACCCCAGGATGGGCTAGTAAACAGGTGATGTACCTGAATCTCGGGGCTAATGCCTGGAGACTGGGGTCACCATCGCCAGGGGTGTGGGGCACACCTATTAGGTCTTAAATCTCTTGCAACAATTAATTTTTTTGTCTGGGTGTATTGGAAACCCCGAGAATAGTTCTGTCTTTTCTCTGCAGATGCTGCTAATCCTGCGCCCATGGATAGCGGAAGCGTTTGAAGGTCAACGTGTCATTATTTAAACAAGAAGAAATGTAAAAACAATTGCTGCTCTGCATCTGAGATTGGCTTGACCTGTCCTCCCACAGCTCCAACACCGTCTGGGGCAAGAACCACGTCCCTGCATTATCAGCCATCTACTGACCGGGTGATTGGACCTCCGACTGTAACTCTGGAGTTACAGGCTGCATTTGGGGCCACCCGGAGCAGAGCTTGTCAGCATCGATTTGGGAATGCGAAATGAGGGCATCCACGTCCCTGGCGGAGCCGGTAACCTTACCTTGGAATTCAGCCTCTCAGTCTGAAATAACAAGAACCCGACATTACGGGCAGAAGATACCGAATCTGTCACCGAAGTAGTAATTGTAATTGGTCCGGGACTGTATATGGGACTTATAAATATTTGGAGATAAATGGACTTCAGCTTAAATTCATGATTATAATCACAGGTGTTAATGGCTTACTTGATGGTAACAAAAAGCCAGAGAGGGTATTGCATTTGGGAACCAGCACGGGGCAGGAGGAGGGGGGGGTCCATCAACCAGTGGAAGTGCCCTCTCTCCTGGGTCATGCCAGGCCTGAGGAGTTTGTACTATTTTCACCGGGGTAGCCTCTTCACCAGGTAATGGGCGTGCTCCAGATGCGCCTGCAAACCTTGAAAACCTGCCTATTGACGTGGGGATGGCTGTTGCCTGGGTTAATATGCAAACTTTTGCAAATAACCAATATAAAGGACATGCTGGGTGGGTGCAGCGTGGGCACCATGTGATCCTGCCCCCAAGGTGTACACAACGGAAGCCCTTGTTTATTAATATTATTTCCCCGAGCGCCTGCGGGTGATCAGGCTACATTCCTGCCTGTTTACCAGCATGTCTCTGTCCCCATGATTGTAATGAGTCATATTGGGGCATGCCAGGTGGCTTCTACCATCGGGTGTCTTATTAGATCACCACAGTGGGGAACACATGAATGGTTTGTAAACCAGACACCCACTCTTGGCCCCAAGCGGGGGCCAATTGAAGCAGGCCATGAGCACATATGGTGTAGCCTTGCCCAAGGAAAGACAGGTATCTGTGACCATTATACACCAGGGCTGTCTATACACTGGCACCCTTTTCCGGAAAAGGGATGCTAATGAGACACTTCGGAATTGCAAATGCCGCGGGGGATTTAAATATCCCCCGCGGCATTTGCATGAACATGGCTGCCGCTTTTTTCCGGCTCGGGGTTTTGCCGGAGAAAAGCGCCAGTCTAGACGGGATCTTGCGGAAAATAAACCCTTTTGAAAGTAGGAATAAGGGATCTTCCAGAAAAGGGTTTATTTTCCGCAAGATCCCGTCTAGACTGGCA